TGCACCCAGCCTTGAAGTCAGACTGGGGAGAAGTAGAAAGAGACTAAAAATTGCTGTAGGACTGAGATGTTAAAAGGGGTGTTCAAAAAAAACTGAGCTCATCTAGGGGTTCAAGAATAAGGAGGGTGAAGGAACGGGGAGCAGGAAGAACCTAGACATCTTTCTCAAAAATGGTATTTAGACTTTTTCCTGGGGCACACAAAGCCATGCTTTGTTACCTTGGGTAAATTACTTAATCTTCCCAGATTTATTTGCTCTGATATAAAATAACCCCTTGTTGCTGCTGATCTGTTGTGAAGGAGGTAAATTCACAGCAGGACCTGGCTGGTGAGCGCTTAGCAAACACTGGCTCTATCCACTTCTCATTTGCTTGGGATCAAATTTCCTGTGCTGATCTACAGAGTTGTTCTAAACAAACAGAGCGACAGCCTTTGGGCTTGAGAGAGGTGAGGGGGTTAGGGAGAACAAGGATCAGGTGTGTAGAAAGCAGAGGCAGAGTCCAGCTACCGGACTCCACTCAGAGTTACAAGGGGTCACTCTGCTCCCTCTGCAAACCACACCCCAGACCTGGCTTCGCTATGGTCTTGAAGACTTGTCAGGCCAGGTCTATTCCATGTCCCCAGTGTCTGCTTTCTCCTCCAGGACAGGCTTCTGTCTGCATCACTGCACTGGGGCTGCATTCTCCAACCTCTCTTGGAACCTCTTAATTCTCCAGTCATCCAGTGGACTCTAGAGGTTAGTGCCCAGTGATGGGCATGGCTCATACAACCAGAAAGTTGGTAGGAATGCTGCCAGTGAAGACCACATTTGGGGGGTTTCTGCTGGGAAGGACTGCACTGCTGCTGGACTCCAGTGTATCATGGCTTGGCAGAAAATTTGTCTGCATTTTGCTCATGTCCAGAGACTTTGCCTGAGACTGAGATTAAGGGAGACAGACTAATTAATCTAGCAGAAAAAAATTTCAAGGCACTCAAATGTCGAGGCAGGGGCGTGACTACTGTTGGGGCCTTTTAGCCAAATTTATGTTGCGAATCAAGAGCAAAGAGCCCAGCAACATGAGTTAAAACATTTTGAGTTTGACCAGAATGGAAGTTCCAGTAAAGTTCCACCCTGTAAAGATGGAACAGAGAAATTGCTCACTGAAGAGATAAGCAAGAAAAAGTCAGGGGCTGGGGATTTAGCTCAGTGGCATAAGCGCCTGCCTTGCAAGCAGGCAGTCTCGAGTTCGATCCCTGGTACCGATTTAAAAAAAAAAAAAAAGAAAAAGCCAAGTACTTCAGAAGATAACAGAAAAAATGGCCTTCAGGACAGTTGTTTTTCCAATATAATTCCCATTCACCCAATCCTTGATTGTTCTTATTTAAAAATATTTTAGAAGTATGTGGTTGAGAATAGAACATTCCCAGCCAAATTTAGCGCAACTGGGAGCTCTGCTTGCTCAAAATATTAGTCACATTTTATGGGACAGATCAAAGGACAGAGAGCTATTTCTTAAGGAGAAACCACCACTGATTTTCACAGACAGTTACAAATGAACAGATGGATGCGCTTTCTTGTTAAACCACTTATTTCACAGCACAATTTCCAGATGTGGCTGAGGAATGTCAAGACTATTTTCTTGGAGCTGTATATTTGAAGCAATAGAAATGGCTACTTTTTGACTTCTTTCCTGGTCACTGGGACAAAATCCCCAGCACCCACCTTTTCAAGGAGGAGAGGTTTCTTTTGGTTTCATTCCATGATGAGCCATCTGCAGTCTAGAAAGAGCATGGTGGAAGGGAAGGGTGTGATGGATGCAAAGCTGTTCACATCATAGTAGCCTGGAAACCACAAAGAGCAGTGGCTACCTTTCCATCTTCTGATGTTCTCTTCGATCTCCTCTTTCAGTGTTCTACACTTATCATAGAGTCTTTCAAACTTCCTTCATTAGGTCAATTCCTAAATGTTTAATTTCTCTTGAAGCTATTTTAAATGGTACTTTTTTCTTGATTTCTTTCTTCGTGGATTTATTATTGAACAGATTTTTACTGATTTTTGATATGTTGATTTTGTACCCTTGCTGAATTTGTCATATATGGTTCTTATCAGATTGAGATAAAGTCCTTCTATATCTATTTTCTTTAGAGTTTTCTAAAATCATGAATGGATGGTGAATTTTGTCAAAGGCTTTTTCTGTGTCCACTGAGATGGTTATGTTATTTTTGTTCTTGTTTCTATTTATGTAGTGTATTATTGATTTGTATATGCTGAACCAAACTAGCATCCCTGGAATGAAGCTACTTGGTCATGAGGTATGGTCTTTCTATTGGTTTATTGCATTCTGTTTGCCAGTATCTCGTTGAGGATTTTTGTATCTATGTTCATTAAAGAGACTGGCCTATAGTTTTCTTCTTTTTCTTGAATCCTTCTCTAGTTTTGGAATCAAGATAATACTACCTTGTAGGTGTGAAAAGGGCACTATTCCTTGCCTTTCAACATCATTTTAAGAGTTTGAGGATACTGGCGATAGACCTTCTCTGACGTTCTCACAGAGTTCAGTTGTGAATCCACTGGGTCCTGATGGTTTTAGTTGGTAGATTTTTTTTTTATTACTGCCTCAATTTTATTGCCTGCTACTAGTTTCTACAGTGTTTTACTTTATGATTCACTTTTGGTAATTCATATGTAGCTAGGAATCTATCCATTTCTTTTGTATTCTCAGATTTATTGGAGTTCAGGTTTCCAAAGTAGTTATTAATAGATAATTTCTGGCTTTTGAGTGTGCCTTGTGATTTTTGCCTTTTTCATTCCTAACTGTACTAATATGGGTCTTTTCTTTCCTTCTTTTGATAAGATTGACTAAGGGGTTTTCTGTTTTATTTATTCTTTTGAAAAAACAGCTTATTGACTCAATGATTCTTTGTAATTTTTTAGTCTCAAATTTAATAATTTCTGCTCTTATTTTTGTAATTTCCTTCTTTGTATTACCTTTGAATTTTTATTTTTCTTTTCCTAGGACCATGAGGTGATTACTAATTTATTTATTTGAGCTCACTGGTTTTTTTTTTTAAATTTTTATTTAAGGAGAAAAAGAAAAAAAAAACCAGAAAAAGGGTACAAGTTATACAGAATCTTAGAAAAAACAAACAGTAGGAAATCACTAGCTAACAGATTACATATTGTCATCTTAGAAATAGCTGTTCAAGTTACAAAATCAAAGCATACAAAGTGGACATTCAAACAGTGAGACTGCAAACAGTTCTGTTCAGTGATCCAACAAAACTCAGTAATATGGTTATCTATCTTATACGTTTAAATATACATGCAGTTATATGCTTTAGAGCACTTTCTTTTCCTCTCTTTTGTACAATGACAATTACAAATTTTGGGTTTTATTACTCCCACAGTTCTTATTACATTTTTTGAAAAGAATAAAACCAACTGTGACATTACAAAACAGAGTCAGTCAAATCAAAAGGAGGGACATAATACATACTGTAAAAACAAAATACAAAGTGATCTACATTGGTTACCATAATGCCTCTTGCTATCTTAAAAAGACTTGCCTATATCATCAGTTATAATAAAATTGAACAAAACAGTAAAGAACAAAACCAATAAAACCAAAATACTGGAGACAGGGGCTGGGGATTTAGCTCAGTGGCATAAGCGCCTGCCTTGCACGCAGGCAGTCATGAGTTTGATCCCTGGTACCGATAAAAAGGAAAAAGACAAAAAAAAAAAAAAAAAAAAAAAGAAAGAAATACAAAATATTGTAGACATTACAGGACTTCAAAAGAAGATAATAGTCAAACCAGAATGGGAGTCATAATGAATCTTATTGTCTTCAGAGTTGTTGCCTATACTCTTGAACTTGGTAGTATCAAGCAAGACAGAATAGAGGAAAATCAGTCAAAACAAGATGGTGAGAGCAATACAGGGTTTCAAATCAAGTTAATAGGAAATCAAACTGGGTTACTATAATATATCCTGCTACTTTTTTATTTTTCCCTTAATTACAAAGATAAAAATAAAAAAGTGAGTAATAAAAAAGGGAGATTAAGATAAAAGAGGACATAACAAAATAGCACAGGTCAAAAAATAACCATTTAAACAAAATAGTGTTTTACCACCAGATATCCCGACATAAAAGTAGTTACCATAGTGTCTCTTCCCTTGAAATCTTTGAGTATAACTTCATATACTATAGCATCAAACATATCAAGACAATGTAAAACCATTCAAGAGAATGACAGTATTACAGGGTATTTAGAACCAACTAACAGAAAATGAACAATGGTTTCCGTATAATCTCCTTGTCTATAAAAGTTTTTGTTTATATTATCACATATAATAAAATCCAATAAGATACAACATGTTAAGACCGATGGAGACAGAAGAACAAAAGCTTGATTGACTTCAAAACAAGATGATATTAAATCAGCACTAGCTATTATGATGTCTTGTTTTCTCCAAAATAGCTGTTCCTACCTCCAACCTTCTCAGCCTCATTTCTGTTGAGCTCTTTTTCTGTCATTAGTTATCAGTTTGTCTTCTTCATTTCGCTTTCTGCTCCATTCATTGTGGCCTCTCTGCCACTGTTTCTGGAATCTTGGTATTTTTCTTTTTTTTAGAATGTCCTGCAGTATTCTCTGTAGAGTTGAATTGGTGGTTGCAAATTCCCCTAGTTCCTCTTTATCCTGGAAGCACCTTGTTTTTCCATCAATTTCTAGGGATAGTTGTACAGGATATATCAATCTTGGCTGGAGGTTATTATCTTTTAAAGCTTGAATTATTTCCCCCCACGCTCTTCATGATTTGATGGTTTGTACTGAGAAGTCTGCTGTAATTCTGATGGGTGTTCCCTTGTAAGTGATCTGTTTCTTGTTTCGGACAGCTTTTAATATTCTGTTCTTATATTGTATTTCTGGAATTTTGATTATTATATGCCTGGGAGTTGTTCTGTTTGGGTTATAGGTGGCTGGGGTCCTGTATGCCTCATACATCTGAGTATCTTTACCTTTTGCTAAATTAGGGAAATTCTCCTCGATTATTTCTGTGAATAGTCTTTGTAGTTCATTTGTTTGTGTCCCTACTTCTTCTTTTATGTTCTTAATTCTTAAGTTATAGATCCTTTTATCATCTTCAAGCCTTTGTATTATTGCTGTTTGTTTTCTTGTTATTTTTAAGTTTTTTATTTCATGCTCCCACATTACAAATCTGTCCTCCAGTTCAGATAATCTATCCTTAGTTTCTTTCAAGCTGTTATGCCAGCTTTCAATAGAGTTTTTAATTTCCTGGTAATCTCTTTGAACCTGCTTCATGTATTCTATGTTTCCTCTATTTTCTCCATCAAAGAATTCTCCCTTTTTTTCTGTCTTTCCAGTGCTTAGCATTTCTCTAACTATTCTACTTATATCTTGCTTTATTTCATTAAATACTTCACTTTTGAACTCGTCTATGAGGCTCTGGAGATATCACTTTGTCTATTGGTGCCGTGTCTGATATTGCTTGTTTTCTGTCCTCATTCTGCTTTGCATTAACTTTTCCTGGATCAGTGTTCTCAGGATCGGGGGCTGAGGATCCTTTCTTGTTGCTCCCTCTTCCCATATTTTTTGTTCCTTCCATAGGAGGCCCAGTTTCTTTCTTTGTCAGTTATAGTGTTTGAATTGTGCCAGCTAGGTGTTCCCGCCCACCGCAGTGTACTAGGGAGACCCAGACCTGGACAGCCTCTGCTGGGCCCGCCCCTCCAGGTCAGTCAACCTACTGAAGGCTTCACTGCTAGGATGCACCTCCAGGTGCTGGGACCTGGTTTGGGCTAGGCTACTGGGTCTTAGTCCATGGCGTCACCCAGGCCAGGGCTTCCTACCAATCCCACTTGGGAGGGGAATATGTGACTGAAGTCACTGCAGTGTCCTGTTCCAGCTAGTCTGCCCGGTCCCAGCATGTCCTCTGTTGAAACCTCCTAGTCTATGGAAGGGTCCCCATTTCTCTCACTGCTCACTCATTTCACTCAAAAAAATGTCTAATTGCTTCCTGGATTTCTCCTGCAATCCATTGATCATTTAAGAGTGGATTAATTTCCATGTGTTTTCATAATTTCTGTGGTTTCTTTTGCTGATTTCTAGTTTCACTGCACTATGATCTAACAGTATTAATGGGGTAATATTGATTCTTTGAAATTTACTTAAGCATGTTTTATAGGCTAGATGTGATCTATTTTGGAGTAAGTTCAGTGTGCTGTTGAGAATAGTTATATTCTGTTGTTAGGTGAATCACTTTGTAGGTATCTATTAAATTCATTTTTTCCAAAGTGTGGTTCAACTGATATTCCTTTGGGTGGTTGTTTTGCTTTGTTTTGTTTTGAATCTAGCTGATCTATTTATGACAGTGGGGTATTGTGGTTTCCCACTATAACTGTGTTGATCTTTTATGTCCGGTTGTGTTTCTCTTATGAAGTTGGCTATGCCAGTACTTCGTGCATATATATTTATTATTGCTGTGTTTCCTGTTAAATTGTGACCTTAACTAATATGTAGTCATCTTCTTTGCCTCTTTTGATCATTTTGGCTTGAAGTCCTCTTTGCCTGAGCATAGGATAGTTACTCTGCTTGTTTTATGGCTACTATTGTATGGAATATTATTTTCCATCCTTTGATTTATTTATGAATTTCTTTTCAGATTAAATGTGCTTCTTATATGCAGCAAACTCTTGAGCTTTTTATGATCCACTCTGCCCATCTGTGTCTTGTAATTGGGGAGATGAGATCATTCACTTTCTGTGTTTTTACTGAAAGGTGTTGATTTATTTCTATTATTTTTTTGGTGGTGATCCCCTCCTTTTTGCTTCACTGCTAACCCTACACAGTGTATTTGTTCCATTAGACTTTCTGGCACAATTGGCTTCACTATATCTTTCTAAGGTACTCTTGAGCACATTTTAGAGTCCTAGTTTAGTGGTCAGGAATTTCTAAAGTTGTTCTTTACCATGGAAGGACCTTCTTTCTCCATCAATTTTTGTGGGGGAGTCCTTTTGAGACAGGGTTTCACTATGAAGTTTAGGCTGGCCTTAAACCCACTTTGTAGCCTAGGCTGGCCTCAAACTTGCAGAGATCCTCCTGCCTAAGCCTCCTAAATGCTGGGATTACAGGCAAGCACCACTGCGCCCAGACTCTCCATCAATGTTGAAGAACAGTTTTGCATGTTATGTTTGTCTGGTTTAGAAGCTGTTTTCTTTTAGGGCTTTAAACACTTCACTCCAAGATCTGGTCTTTAAAGTTTGTGTTGGAAAGTCTGCTGTAATTCTAATAGGTTTAACTTTGTAAGTCATTTGTTCCTTTTTTCTAACAGGTTTTTAAATTCTATCCATGGGCCAGGTATGGTGGTGCACTCCAGAGGCTAAGGCAGGAGGATTGTTGCAAGTTTGAGGCCAGCCTGGGCTACAAACTGAGTTCAAGGGCAGCCTGAACAGTTGAATCCTATTTAAAAAAAAAACAAAAAACAAAAACAAGGGGCCTGGATATAGCTCAATAGCACAGCAATAACTTTTATTAGTGTCTCCTTTAAGTTCACTGATCAGCTTATCAAGTCTATTTTCTGTTTAGTTGTATCATTTTTGAACATACATACCTTATTTATATTTTGTTTCCTGTTTTGTTTTGGTTTTCTGTACTGGAGATCTTACTCATGACCTAGTACTTGCCAGGCAGGCACTTGTGCTATTGAGCTAAATTCCCAGTTTTATTTCCTCGTTTATCACTTCACATAATTCTACTGTCAGGCTTTTGGTTTCTTTTCCGTCAATACCCCATCAGTCAGCTTTGGGGAAGTTGGGAGTTTTTAGATGCATTTTTTTGCCTTTTATTATGTTTCTATTGATCTTGTTTTAGTTACTTTTCTCTTGCTGCTGAGACAAAATACCAGACACCCAAAATTAAAGGGGAAAAGGTTTATTTAGCTCACAGTTTATAGAGGTTTTAATCCATAACCAGCTGGCTTCAAGGCAGGATGGCTTCATAGAAGAAAACAGTTCATGGCAGGCAGAAGGTAGCAAAGCAACAAGGAGTGACCTCACTCTGCTTATCTCCTATATTATCCAGGCTACTTAGGGCGGGTGGGATCCACACCCTTAATCTGAGTGTCCTTGATGCTAGCACTGCACTGTGAATCAATTCCAGCATCACACACTCCAGACCCAGCCACCTTTCAAAAAACCTCAACTCATGAGGTTTTGAGGGGACACTAACACAAACCAAACTGGGCGTGGGAGTGCACACCCATAACCCCAGCCACTCGGGAGACTTGAGTCAGGGGGACTACTATGAGTTTGAGCCATCCTAGGCTACAAAGTGAGTTGAAGGCCAGGCTGAACTGCATAGCAAGCCCCTGTCTCAAATAAGTAAATAAATAAATAACCCAAGCCGAAATAGTCTTGTGCTTGTGCGTGTGTTTATAGGTGTGTGTACTGAAGCTCGAGGGTCAGTTAAAGGGGAAAGATTTTGTTGTTGGCATAGAGAGTTTTTCAGTTGGTGCCAGCTTTCTGCGGTGCACTCTGGGCCTGGTTAACTATTGGCCTCTGTCTCAGTCCTACCATCTGACCATGTCCATTAACTTAGGGAGGGAAAGTACACTTTAACTGACCCAGTATGCAGTTTCCCAGAAAGAAACTAACGTTGATGACACAAAGACAATTAGATGTGGGCATACAGTAAAAACCAATTAATTGCAACAAGTATGCCTCCACTGGTAATAGCAACAAAATCAGCAACAGTGAAAGCACCAAAGACAAACTGGATCCTGACATACCATATGAACCAGTAAAACCTAAAGCTGTGCCACCTCTAACAATAGAAAAGACTTTTACAACAGTAAGACACAAAGACAAGCCAAGTACTGACATACACTAAATATCTGTTAAATGCAACAACTAACCAACATTAATAGTAGAAATGATTTGAACAATAATAAGATAGCTAAATTTCTAAAGATTAATACAGATCAATAGTAATACTAATAAGAATGGAAAGGGAGCCGGGCGTGGTGGCTCACGCCTGTAATCTCAGCACTCGGAAGGCTGAGGTGGGAGGATCATTGCGAGTTCGAGACCAGCCTGGGCTACAGAGTGAGCTCAAGGCCAGCCTGAACTGCACAGCAAGACCCTGTCTCAAAAAGACAAATTTTAAAAAAATGGAAAGGGAAAGTGAAAAAAGTAAAATTTTAAAAACGAAGAACAGGAAGATGAGAGAAAAGTGAGACAAAGGATTCGATTAAGGAGTAAAACAAAACTAATATAACTAGGTAAAAGTAACAAGAAAGAATACAAAAAAAGAAGAAAAAGAAAAAAGAAAAAGAAAAAACCAACGCCTCATACTGAAGAAAGAGAAATTCTCCAGTGTGTTTGAATGAGTGTTTTGTTGCTAAGGTCTGCAGCACTGGAATCCACCAGGAATCAGTCACTACTCAGTCCTACTTGGTTTCCACACGCATCTTGTGTGTAAATGCAGAGTTCTGCCCGGCCTTTCCTGCTGAGGAGCCCGGTCAGTAGCTCTGCCCTGTGCACTCCAGCTGTCTCTTGCTGTGTCCTTATGTGTAGCTGAAGTCATTCATTCCTTTCTCAGCCTAGTTTTATGGGCTGTGCAGGTGTGAGGTGCCCCCATCCCCATCCAGACATCTCTGGTACACCCCAGGCTTTGACAGCCATGCTGCTGAGGCATTTCCTTGATCACACTGACAGATGGTGAGAGCAAACAGAGCACCCCTTTACTGGGGCTAGGGTGGGCGAAGCCTGGCCTGTCGTTTCTCCCTGGGGCTGCTTGCTGACCGTCTCCCCAGGAGCCAGGGTTAGGGTCCAGACTGCTGCATTCTTTCTTCTACACATGTTCAGTTTCTTACCCTTTTTTTGGTACTGGCAATTGAACTCATAACCTCACGCTTGACAGGCAGAGCTGAACCCCCAGGCTGTTATCTTTTTTTTGATTCTTGATTTTTATTCTTCTTCAGTAATTGGTTGTTTTCTGGGTGTATTGATTCCAGATTCCAGAGTTTGTATTTTGCTGCTGGTCTGTACTCCACTATTTTTTTTTAGCATCAAAATAAAAACTTTTTTTTAAAGGGCTAGGAGTCTAGCTCAGTGCAAAGGCCCTGGCTTCAATCCCCGGTACCACATTTTAAAAATTTGAATTTTAGATGTGCAAGTGTTCTTTAAATGCTTGCAAATATTTTACTTGTGAAGTTTTTTTTTGTCTTTTTCATTTTTATCAGTACCAGGGATCGAACTCACAACCGCCTGCTTGCAAGGCAGGCGCTTATGCTGCTGAGATAAATCCCCAGCCCCTACTTGTGAAATTTTTAATTCTGCCAATCAGAGTTTGAAATGTTTGAGAGACACAGACACATAAAGTGAGTGATATCTACAGAAATTTAATTGATTTTTAAAATTTCAATTTTTAAGTAGTGTTAAATGTTTAAAGAGAATTTGTTACATCTGAGTTGATAACACATAAATCAAAAGATAGGTGATTCTTATTATTTTCTAGCAATATTATTAGATTAACAAATGAACTACTAAGATTTGTAAGTTGAAGTTAAAGGCTTTAGAAAAAGTGAGGTTTTTTTGTGGAGTTTTTTGGTACCTTGTGATCACCAGGTAGGCACTTGTGCTACTGAGCTAAACCCCCGGCCCTAGCAAAACTAAGATTTAATTACATCCTCAGTTATTATATGAAAACATTCCATGCATAATGTTTCAAATGGCATGCTTATTCAAAACATATTTATTAACCAGGCATGGTGGCACAAACACTTGGGAGGCCGAGGCAGGAGGGTCAGCCTGGGCTGCACAGTGAGTCCAAGGACAGCTTGAACTACAGATTGAAATCCTGCCTCAAAAAAAATTATTGTCATTTCCTATGAGCTAGGCACCACTCCAGGCCTGAAAATATGGGGGGAAATGGCTCCCAGTCCTTCTTTCATTGAAATTACACACACAGAGGACATGAGCAAAGAAGTCAGTAGACAAACAGCATGATTTCAGGTAATGAAGAGACAGCATCATCAGAGCTGACTCCTTGATCCTGCCTTTCTCATGGTGAGGGATGTTCTGTCCCCTCTCATGGCCCAGGAATGGGATCACTGGCCATTTCCCTCTTTCCATAACGACACCACCCGTTCTCCCATTTCTACCTGACACTGTCTATAGCTTCTTTTATAATCAGTCAATGAGTCCACATACAAAAAAGTTTTTCTCTTCAGAATGAGGCTCTGTCCAAGAAGATAAGGGAAAAGAGTCCAGCAAATGGGCAGTAATGAAGCAGCCTGGTACTGGTGCATACCCTGCAAAAGTTGAGGGTATACCTCCCACCACTAAGCGCTGCAGGAGGAGAACACGGAGCTGAGGAGGCCAGGACCGCCGCATTCAGAGAGGATTAGTTTTACAGGTGAGGCAAAACTATTTTTCATCCAAGCAAAAGCACCTATTTTCTATATTTCCAAATCTCTGAAATGGGACTTTATCTTACAGTGATGATGCCTCTGACTATAAGTTATTTATTACTCTATTATTTATTACTGTACTTATTATACTTAAAACTAAACACATCACAAAGAACCATTGTGTCCCATGAGCTGTGCAGAGCCAGCTTGCAACCGCTGGCAATAAAATCTTGCTCCAAAATCAGGGTGTGCATTAGAATCACCTAGGAACCCTGTTTCATTATGCCCAGACTCCACTTCTGACCAGTTGAACCAGTGGACCAGTGGAGTGGGCATTGGTAAGAACCCACATGATTCCAACCTGCAGCCAGGCTTGGTGGCCAGGATGGCAGTTTTAAGCAAGAGTACACATTCTCCTGAGCTTCTATGCAGGCTCTGTAAGGGACATCCCTACATGGATCCTGTGTAGTCAGCTTTGAGCTGCTATGACAACATACCTAAGGTAAAGGTCTTAAAGGAGGAAAGATTTCTTTTCATGGCTCTTGGTTTCCACTGCTTCAGTCCATGGTCATCTGGTGTTGTTACTTGTGGCAAGGCAGCACAGCATGGCAGGAGCAGGTAGAACAAAGCTGCTCACCTACAGCAGTCAGGAACCAAACAGCAGACAGGAAATGGCCAGATCCCACCATCCGTAATGACCTCATTTCCTCCCGCCTCTTAAAGATTCCACCACATCCCCAAAGCACCAGTCTGGAGAGTAAATCTTCAATACATGGGTCCCTGGGGACAGATAGGATTGAAACTGTAGACAGGTATGGTGGTACATATTTAAAATCTCAGCACTCAGGAGGCTGAAGCAGAAGGATCACTGCAAGTTCCAGGACAGCCTGGGCTCCATAGTGAGTTCAAGGCCAGCTTGAATTACATAGTAAGACTGTCTCAAAAAACAAAAAGCAAGAAAACCTTTTAATTGCAAATGAAGTATGTTCCAAATATTGCCTTTCCAAAATAGAAGAAGGATCCAATTAAATTGTCAGCTGCTATATTATTAAATACATTTTGAAACGTAGTGGAGCACATCTATAATTTCAGCACTCTGACAGGCTGAGGTAGGTAAGAGGATTGCAATCCTCTGGGCAACTTACCTGGGCAACTTACTGACTTATCAAGACCCTGTTTTAAAATTAAAAATAAAAAAGACTTAGGAATACAAGGTCCTAGACTCAATCCCTAGACCCAAAAACAAAGCAGAGCAAAGCAAAACAAAACATTGAGTGGTACGTGATAAAATTTTTGGCACGGCTAAAAAGATAGATATATGAGATAAAAGTGGCCTTTATTTTAAGAATGCGGAGAGAGACTCCATGATCTCCAGGGTCTGGCTTTCTCTCTGCGGGACAGGCAGTGTGGGGGTATACACATAGTTTAGGTTTGGGGTGGTGCCGAAGGGGCATTACTGATGCAGAGGTAGCCCATAGGAATTCATTTCAAAATTGCCTAGGGGCGGGGAAGGTGACCTCAAAATAGAGCCCCTTGGTTCCGCATCCCAGCCTCCCACCACTGCAGCTTCCCATTCAGGGCAAAATCCTTTCATTCCCATCTTTTTATTATTAGGGAAAAGGGTGAGGTTTTTCTTTTTTTTACTGCTTCCGCTGAAAGGGGGCACTGTACTAGGGTTTAAGAGGGTCAACAGGATGACGGTTGATGCCCATGTAGAAGCTGGTGCCAGGTGTTTTAGCTAGGACAACTTTATCACTGGGGAATGCCCACACATTAGACTGGAAAAACAAAGACACAAGGTGTCATGAGGAGGCAGGCACTATCATATTTAAGGACCCAGGTGAGATAGAAAGAAAGGTGCCTTTGATTTAGATATGTCATTTTATCAGGAACATGTTGAGGTAGAATCATTGCCATGGTGAGGCAGAATTCTGAAAAATAAGTGTGGGGTTAGGAGGAGGAAGTTATGAGAGGTGGTTATTCCCCCATCTGAAAGGGTAAAAATTAAGAGGGTAGGTTGGTAAGACTTGTTTCTGGTTTGCATGATGTGGGAGTCTTTAGGAAAGACCACTGAGAGTCCTACTATAAAAAAGATAAATAGAATATAAGAAATTAAAAATCAAATTGGATAACAAAATATGACTTAGCTTGAGAATTGTGGCCGTGAGGCCTTGGTGAGGTGGAGATGAGTGGGCAAAAGGATGGTTAGATCTAGGGCTGGAAGGGCACTGCTTAGCCTGACTGATGTGAGACTAGGATGGAAGTCTAGCAATTTTGACCCCTGTTGAGATTGCCAAGAAGACCAGGTATGGGCCGCTCCACCTTGGTTGTAGTCCTTGTGATGATTTTATAGATCAGGACTTTAGTAAGTATATCAGCAATCTCCCTGGTTGTGGGAAAGGCTTTTATGTATCCTAAAAAAGTACAAAGGTAAGAAGATATTTGAGAGATTTGTGGCAAGACATGTGTGTAAAATTTATGTCAGCCTTGACCAGGGTTGTATCGTGAAACTGGTGAATAGGAAAGGAAGTGGGTGCTATGTATCCCTGAAGAGAGGTTTTACTAGAGATAACAGGTGTAAGCTGTTGAGACCTCAGAGTGTCTGGGTCAGTCTGCATAAACACAGAGAAATAAAAAGGCATTTTTAAGATCCAGGACTGTAAAGTGAGTGGTGGAGGGAGGGTTTGGCACCACTGGGTGGATTGGGGTAACAGCACTATCGAGTATCTTAAGGTTCTGTACTACAGGGTAAGACCCTCCGGCTTGAATATCAGGAGAATAGGAGTATTATAGGGTAAATGAGTAGGTTTAAGAAAACCATTGTTTAAAAGGCGTTTAATTATAGGTTGAAGTTCCTGGAAATGTTTGGAAGCTATGGGATATTGGGGAACACAAGGAAGAATTGAAGAATCCCTGAGACGAATTAAAATAGGCATGGCATGGGCAGCACAGGTGGAATTGGAGGTATCTCAAACTATGGGATTGACCAGAGAAGAAGCAAGTCTGGAACCTGCATGAAATAGGCCCTGTCTGTACAGGCTACATAGGTTGGCCATCAATACCCCCATAGAGACTGAGGACTTAATATAGCGGCCTGAAAACTCAGGAAGAACCCTATATATGGCCTCTATGTTCACAAGTATAGAAAATATCTTACCTGGGACCTCTAATAGGACTTGGGGCTCTAAGAAGGACATCTTAATGAGGGCTGTGGACCCCAAGCCCCATCAGTCTTCAGCAGCAAGTCCAAGCAGATCTGTCAGCGATGAATCTGGCAGTGTTGGCATTTCCTGTGAGGGCTAGAAGTTAGGATGGCTTACCCACTCTCTGGTGGCTAGGACAGTACAGTAGCCCTGGGGTAAGGCCCCAAAGGAATGCCAGGATGGGGTACTCTCTTGCCAAATGTGCTTCTGCTGCATTCCAGGCATTGTCCATGAGGGGCTCAGGCAGCTCCACCTTGTGTCAGTTTACCTGTCTCAGAGCTTCAAGTGTCACTGCTAAAAGATTAGATTGTTACTTTTTAACTCTGTGGTTGAAAACACCAAAAGCCATAATAAGAAATTGAGATCCACGCCATGTTGGAACTTAGGACTCTGGGAAACCAAGAGTAAGCAGTGGTAGTGTGACCCACTGCAGCCCTTCCAGGGGGAGAATTAGCAGTGTCTCCTGAGATCCATGCCATGTTGGAACTTAGGACTCTGGGAAACCAAGCCACCTCCCCTCCCTGGTAAGCAGTGGTAGTGTAACCCACTGCAGCCCTTCCAGGGGGAGAACTAGCAGTGTCTCCTGAGATCCACGCCATGTTGGAACTGAGGACACTGTGAAAACAAATGACCATTCTGCCTCCCTGCTTAGCAATAGTGAACCTACTGCTACATGACCTAGAGTCAAATATCCCACTTCCCCTATCCTCCTTCTCCTCCCCCTCCCCGCCCATTAGCAAGTGGGAACCAGAAATCTGAGCATCTCCTGGGAGGTTGACCATAGCAAATAAGGGGGACTTCCTTCTACCATTTCTTTGAAGGCAAATATTTTTATTACTGTTTTGCTCTTTTCTGATTAACAGTACTGCTCTATTCAATATTCTGTTTTGATAAGTTCTATAGTGTTCTATATTTCATCTCATTTTGATATACGGGATTGAAAGAACAACTATTATAAAGATAACAAAACATACTGTGATACATATTACTATTATCCCGGTAACCTGCTGTGAAGTTCTGTACCAATTTCACTGTACGATCTTAGTTGGCTTTATTCTGACTTGTTCTGTTGTATACTTTCAAAATAAAAATTAAAAAAAAAAAATAAATCCTTCCTGTGGGGTTTGAGGGCCAAGTTTAGCCTTTTGTCTTGGGGTCTGGGCTACAGTGGAAGGTATCTGTAGAATCAATTAAGTATGCAGGAGTCAAGTAATACAATCAACAGGGTATTTATGATCATAACTTTAGTAATGGCTTCCCATAAGGAGGATAAGGTCCAGGGAATTTTAGGAACTGACGTCATTTATTTGTCAAATGTAAGTATCTCTTTATGCTGGTAAAATATCTAATGCCATCTGATTTTTGGAGGATGGCCTGTTTTATTAATTTTACCTTTTTATTTAGGAGAGAGATCAGCTACAGTGTCATTTAACACCAATTGAGTATAGTAAATTATGGCTCGGCGGAGGGGCTAGGAAAGACTCAAACCTGGCCTCTGCCCCAGTGCTGGTCTTGTTGTTTTGCATGTATCATATAACCTTTCTGGAAAAGATCTGGTGGATCCCAGCAAAAAGAATCTAAAAGGAATTTATAATTATCTCTTAATTTTAGTCGTTGAACATCCAGAAGATTGATCACAGTACAGTATAGTATAGGCAGTAAGCTTAACATAAAACATTAAATGGTTATTAACCATGGATGTTTTAACATTTGAGCACTAAAGAAATTTGTGAAGTATCTCTAAGCATATGTCTGGATCTGAAAGAAAACACTTGTCATCATACATTATATGTATTTTTTTGTCTTTTTTGTTTTTATCAGTACCAGGGATCAAACTCACAACTACCTGCTTGCAAGGCAGGCACTTAGGCCGCTGAGCTAAATCCCCAGCCCCACATTATATAATTTTTGTTTAAAACTTATTATTTGACTGGTTTCCTAATGTTGGTCTTATTTGTATTTCTTGGCTGGAACACAAGAAAAAGGCAGCAGAAACAATTTAAATTTTATATTTGAAAGCATGAATATACCATCAGATCAGAAACAATGAGTTGTTTTAGTCATATGAACTTTAGTTGAGGTGTCTCCCATAAGGTTATGGAGATTATTGCAGGCTTCAATCGATAAACAAGGCTGGTAAAATTACCAGGTGGCCACTTTCTTGTCTATCAGTTGAAGTCTTATCCATTGTCTCCTCACCCCAAGAGATTTTACTTAACCAGTTTTAGTACCATTTTGACCAGCTGGCAAACTAGGTGGAAGCATGTTTTTTTTTTTTTTAACCAATCTAGAGTCACACAGAGGAAGCATGTTTTTTAATCTATAACCCAAATAAACCTCGATTAAATGGTTTGAGAATGTAAAAAAGGAAAAAATTGTTGAGCTCAAATAAAAACTTGAACAGCTGTTTACAGAGCAGGCAAATGGACAAACATGGACAGATGATCTGTACAGTATAAACGGACTGAACAAACAACAGATATATCTTATAAAATCAGAGTACACTCAAATATATTTGGCCCATTTGAACTGTATTAAATAAGGCTGGTGTGAACCCTTTTGTAGATTAATTAATAGAGATCTCTTGAAATAAGAATTGGCCCCTCTTCCTCCCATCACGACCTGTTGACTCCTCCTCTGCACCCAGAGCCACATTTATGCTTTGGGAGCAGGGGTGAGGGCTGGGACTGCTCAGGAGGTGAGTGGAGCCCCCAGTGGTGTGGGGAGCTGGGGCACCCCATGAGAGCCCAGAGTAGCCTGCGCAGCCCCATCGATACGCACCGTGTACACCCTGCCTGCACCGCCAGGGAGCAGCCCAATGCTGTATGTGCACACCTCCCCCATCCTCATGGGGGGGCAGGCTGGCACACCGCACAGGGAGGGATTGAGAAATGGGTGAAGCGGGGAGAAAAGGATGACACTAAGAAAGATACGGAATTTGTGTGTGAGATACAGGGGAGAAGCTGTAAAGAAAGAAGCCACCTCCTTAGTGTGGGGAGGGGAAGGGATCCTGGGGAACAGAGGGAGAGAGGGACACATTCTTGAAACAAGGTCTAAAGATGGAGAGTTTTTGCAAACTTGTCATCAGTGTGATAAGCTATAAATAAAAGATCAGCTTTTCGGTTTTAGGTAGCCTTTTGAACCAGGCACCCTAGCAGTATATTTTTTGGGACAGGAAGTGGTCCCCATGACCAACAGTAAAGTGAGCCAACGGACCATGATGTAAGGCAGGTCAGGCTGTCACCTGGCCTCTTAGACCGACGGTAATCGGTTCCAAAACTTGTGTTTTTTGATCGTCACCGAAAAAGGCACGAGTGGATTTCCCGTGGATTATAGTAATGGCTCTGCCTCGGGGCTGCCCAAGGGATGTGAGAGTGCTACCCCAGTCCAGGGACGGAAAAAAATCCAGCATGGGGCCCGTCGCACCATGGAGTAATTTTCAGACAAATTAGCTCACCTGCGGTAAATGAATTAGACCAATGTTGTTTCACAAACCAGCAGCGACAAGTGAGCAGCTCCTGCGTGTTGAGAAGTGAGGATTTAACTCAGGATGCAGTCCAGTCCATGAATCGGCAGGGGACTCAGACTGAGAGGATCCCAGGAGTCACTGCCTGCCGTTCCCCAGGGAACCAACTGATAGAATTTTCGACAGGGCTAAAAAGATAGAAATATGAGGTAAAAGTGGCCTTTATTTTAAGAATGCGGAGACTCCCTCACCTCTGGGGCCTGGCTTTCTCTTGGCCAGGCACGTGGTGTGGGGGCATACATAGAGCTTAGGTTTGGGGTAGTGCCTAAGGGGCATTACTGATGCACACTAGCCCACTGGAATTCTTTTGGCGCCACACTTAAATTGCCTAGGGGTGGGGAAGGTGACCTCAAGATAGAGCCCTTTGGTTCCACCTCCCAGCCTCCCACTGCTGCAGCTTCCCATTCAGGCCACAAAATCCTTTCAGTACATACTTATAATCTCAGTCAGGAGGCTGAGGCAGTAGAATGAGAAGTTCAAGGTCGGCCTGGGCAACCCTGTCTTAAAATAAAAAATTTTAATTAATAGTATAGTAATTGCCTAGCATGCACAAAGCCCCAGGTTTAACTACTGACCTACTACATTTTACAAAAAAGTAACAGATGATGCTGTGATTTCTGGAATATAATTCAGAAAGGGTTCAAAGAATTGAGTAACATAATATGGCAAATCTGTCAGAACTATTTATATAAGCAAGGTTTTTTGGAGTTAAGTTTTTTTTTTTTTTTTTGAGAACAGTGGAGGGGGGTCTTGCTAAGCAGTTCACAATGACCTTGAACTCACTCTGTAGCCCAAGCTGGTCTCAAACTCACACTGATTCTCTTGCCTCAGCCTCTCAAGTGCTGAGATTAAGGCATGCACTACCACACCTGGTGCAGAGCTTACATTTTTTAAAATGCTGAATATTATCTCATCCTTTATGTAATATTTATCCAGAGATGCATAAATGAATTAGAAAAAAATCCATTCATCTCATTAATTTCCTTTTTCTTCTTTAATCTCATTAATTTCAAATAAAAATTTATTTTTTTCTTAGTCATTTAGCCATATACCATGGCTCACACTTGTAGTCCCAACTACTCAGAACACTGAGGCAGGCAGATCTCTTGAGCCCAGAAATTTAAAGGACAGCCTAGGCAATATAAACAAATCTTATCTCAAAATCAAATAAAAAATTATTTATCAATGTGTGTATTATATTCATATAGTTTGCATCAAATATGTACTGAAAGGAGGGTCTCAGTTCCTCCCTGGCCTTGGCAGAGGCCCTCCCTGTTCCTGCTGGGTGAGCTGCTCCACAGGGTAGCTCACGTGTGGCTTGCCCCAAAAAGAAGAGGCTGAGTGGCACAGCCCTCACAGTCTTTCTGTGACTGGAATTGGTGACAGCCTGTCTGTTTTGCCTTTTTCTATTCACTTGCCATTGTTGGAACCAAATCACTGGGTCCTGCCTACCTGAAGGGGAGAGGGGGACCAAAGGTGGTGAGACCATCCGGAGCTGCCTACCTACAGTCTTAGTCTATAAATAAGGCTTCCAGAGCCTGCATCTATCTAACCTTAAGAAAAATGTTTGTTATCATCTTTAAAATGCACAAGAGGATGCAGAATTTTCCAAAATTCCTTAACCAATAAGCAAGCAAAGATATTTGGAGACCACTTAGCTGGCTGAGGCACCATTTTTTTTTTTTTTCATTTTTATCGGTACCGGGGATCAAACTCACGACCGCCTGCTTACAAGGCAGGTGCTTATGCCGCTGAGCTAAATCCCCAGCCCCTTGAGGCACCATTTTTGCTGAGTCCTGCCTGTCCTGCCGGTTTGGCCATAGTGATGGTGGCCAGGAATTGGCCAGCTGAGAAAAAAAGGCCAAAAGCTTTGGGCACCAGGAAAAGCCACTGCCCCAGATCTGGGAGCTCCTACCCAGACAGGTGGAAAATACAGGGGAAAGTCTAGTGAATCTACATTCGGAGGGCCTCAAAGGCCAGTCAGTGGACTGTAGACTTGACTGGAAAAGAAATGCATCAGTGGTGGGTTTGGGATAAAGGAAGAAAAAGGGAAAAGTGACAGTTTACACAAGGCAAACTTGCCTTTAATGTGCAAGCTGAAATGGTAGAGGAGAAAGCTCAAGGTTGATCCAGGTGGGGAGGAAGGTGGGGAGGCAGGGTCAGAGGAGTGAGCTAGACATGGGATAGCCTTCAGGAGTCAACAAAGGCAGATAACTCCGTTCTAGACGATGGCTGACACAAAGCATAGACGGGCCTTGGTGCAAAAACGATTTGTATTCAGTAGAAACCGCACTTCGAATTTGGAATTTTGATCCGTACCCAGGCTAGTGATGAGCAACCCCAAAGACAGGATCCCACCTGAGCAGAAGGAGGACCAGCCTATTCCCTTGTGTCTTCCCTCAGCGGCGATGTTAGCGAGCCTAACGCATTAGCGAGGCGAGCCTAACGCATTAGCGAGGTGTGCCTAACGCATTTCGATGGAGGATACTTGTCAGCTTACAGTGGGTTTCCTGAGACCAACACCACAGTCAGTCGGGGGTCTCCAGACAGGAAAATTAGCCGACGGCGCTCCTTCAGCGGAGGAGGCCAGCTTGGAGGAACCCGGGGCTCACGCCTGCCCCGACTCCAGCCTGGAGCCGAACCCTGCTGCGGTGAGAATGTGAAAGGAGAGGCCAAAAGGCAGAGCGACGGACCGAGTGCGCGGCGGAGGCGAGGACGAGAAAGGACAGGCGCTGCGGACACAGGCTTCCTGGAGTGCCGAGTTAGGACTAAACGCGAAATTGAGTATCGAGACCGGAAAGGGACGAGAGCAAAGGGAGAGGAGCGGATTGAAAACCCACGCTTACCCTTCGACCGGGAGGATGGTGAGTAACCTGGGAGCGCGCCGAGGCTCAAGAGCAAGTCGCCAAGTCGCCCTGCGGGCCGGCCCGCGAGCACAGCGAGTCTAGCAGGCTGCACCCGGGGTGAAGCGCGCGCCCAGAGGCGTACTAGGGGCGGCCGAGAGGCTCCACCCCGAGCGCCACGCCACGCCCTCTTCCAGGCTCCGCCCCCACGATGCCCCGCCCCCGCGCAACCCCGCCCCCTCGACGCGGGCTGCGAGCCGGAAGCGAGCTGGGCGCTACAGGCTCCGACGCTCGCGGAGGGGAAGGTGCCAGGCGTTCCCTAGCTGCGCCCCCCAGCCCGGGGCCGCCAGCCCCCAGCCCCCAGCGATAGTGCCGCAGTGATGGGGGCTCGGTGCTGCCGGCCATCCGATGGCCCCGCGCCCCCTCTGGGGCTGCTGCTCCTGCTCCTGAGCGCGCTGGCCGCGGGTTGTGCCTCCCTGCGGCTCCTGGACCACCCGGCGCCCGTCTGCTCGCAGGAGGTGAGACCCGGGGGCGTCCCTGAGGCGCAGCTATCCTAAGGTGTTGCGGGGGCAGGGCGCGGGCAGGTGGCCAGGACTCAGTGCGGGACATGGGGAGGCAGGAAATCGGTGATTGGGGGTCACGGAGGAGTCCAGGGCTGGCACATTAAGATCCCGGGCGCTAGGGACACTCGGAAAGATGGGGAAAAGAAGGAGTTGGAGGAAAAGAATGATCGCGCCGCGCGGGTTGCACAACCTGACTCGTTGTCGTGGGCTGGAGGCGGGAGTGACAGCTCTGCCCAGGCCGCACAGTTTGGGGAAGGAGACCGGGGGCCAGGACCTGCCCGGGGAGGCTGGCAGAGAGGAGAGGGTTGGAAAGGGCTGGGGCGGGGGGCTAGGCAAGGGCCAGGCGCATCTGGACCGGCTTTCAAGCCGAGTGCCCTGCAATTCCCCCTCCTCTGCCCGGCAAGCACAGCGTGCCTGAGGTTGGCCAGTCTTCCCTCGGAAGCTTCCTCTCCGAGGCTTCCCCTCTAACCGCTGTGCTCTTAATGCCGACTAAGGAGCCCAGCTAACCGGGGTAGCCGGATGGGAGGGTGTGGAAGGTGGGTACCCTGAAGGGCCTCGGTTGCTACCCCGGAGAGGAAGACCGGGAGGATGGGGCCACGTGGGTGAGCCGGAGCGCCTCGCAGAGTTCAGGGATGCTGCCTGACCATCTAGAGGGGTGAAGCCCTGAGGAAGAGCAAAGGAGTCTTAAGGCAATGCCCCTCCTACCACCTCCCCGGACACTCAGGTCTAAAAGCCAGGTGATTGCACTGTGGGACGTCTGCCGGTTTGTGGCTGTGAAGGAGGACACTACCCACCCACCCGTGTCGCCTGCGGGGCCACAGGAAGTGAAACACCCCTCTGCAGGTGCCCTGCAGTAGAAGAAAAAACTGCGGTGCCCTTCTAATCCGCTTCCCTTTTCTCCTCCATTCTCTCTCCTACACTCTCTGGCCTTCTCAGACCTCTCCTGTCCACTACCACCATGGTCCACAGGGGATAATGCTCAGTATCTGAGTCAGAGGATGTGAAACAAAGTGTTATTTCTCCTCATCTAATTTCATAGATTTACCAAAAGAGGGTGGAGGTTTACTCAGTATTTTGCAAGGAAACAAAAATATTTTTAATGTGACTGATGTTGGGAAATGTCCTTGTAATTGCCACTGTTGGGCAAAGCAGAGACTTGGGCTCATCAATCTTTTCTGCAGGCTTCGTGCAAATCCAGCATCAAGGATTTGCTTTCCATTTGTGGTGGCCATTTGTCATGTGTCCACAAAATACAAGATATTGCTGCATCCTGGGGCTGTCGTGTCTGAGTGAGTTATAACTTTCTGGAAAGCGGGGCTGCAGCAAGTGCCCTTAGCACATCTCATAAGTGTACAGAATTCCAGTGAAGAGGAAAATGACTTCCTGCTGTGCTGTTCTTAGGGAAAAGACATCTGGGCAGCCCCAAGGAGTGGCGGGAGATTCAGTGGTTGGTGGTAGAAGGGGACTGAGCCAAGGTCCTTGGATGGGCAAGGTAACCTGGATTCCTGGGGTAGAGGTCTGCGGAGCAGGAAATTAAAGTACAAAGCTAGACTAGGGATAAGGGCTCCTCACAGGGGCCATAAAAACTGGTCTAAAAAAAAGAGGCTTGTGGATTTTTTAGGGTTTTCTCTGTTTTTGCTTTGTTTTGTTTTTCTCTGTTTTCTAGGTGTTGAAACCAGAGCCTTGTGTGTGCTAAGCGAGTGCTGTAGCCCTGAGCCACATCTCCAGACCTAAAGGGTCTTCACTTTACTTGAAAAATGAAGAGACAGATTCATGAGCAGCAGCCCAGCCCCATTCCAGAAAGGGCTAGAGAGGGTTACTTGCGGCTGTCTCCCCTTTTCTTCCTTCCTCGCCCCACTATCTGTACCTGCTTACCGACAATTCAGTTCTCCCCAAACAGCTACCTTGCTCCGTTCACTAGTCTTTTTAAAAAGAAAGAAGCCAGGGCTGCGGTGTAGCTCAGTGCTTATGCACTTGCAAGGCCTTGGGTTCCATCCCCAGCACCCTAGAAAGAAACCAGGCCATTCCAGTTTTTCTCCTTCCTCTGGTGTTTTAGTGGACACACTCGATGTAGTGGTCGAGATGGGGAAATCAGAAGCTTGAGTTTCCATCTTGACTTTACCACTTCCAGGTGCAGTTCAAGCAACCGGAGTCTGGTATTCTGATCAGCACAGTGAATAGACGGGGTGGGTCTGAACTACTTTGCAGAATATAAATGCTCCCCTCCTCAGGGGCACTAACTTACAATCCTTTACTTCTTTGGACATTCATCTCCATATTTCTAAATGAACCCATGCTGTTAGTTTTTTGCCAATTTTAGATATTATCTGTTGATTTGTTTAATAATGAAAGAATCACCTGGTAGAATCATCTCAGATGTGATTGCTTTAATTCTTCACTTGCATACTTTTTCACCTGACCGTCTTAGTTTTTCTACCAGATTTTCACATCATTTCCCCCTACAATCCTCAGGTGTTTCATTTCCCTTCCTGCAGAGAACTCCCTCCTGGGCCCTTTATCCACCTGCTCTGACTGCTTTCTAGACCTGTGTGGCTGTCAGGCTGAACACAGCCAAGTCTCCCATGTCCTGGGTCCTGTGTTTTCCCCTCCTTTTGTTGGAGCACCTTGTTCACAATTTTCTAAATAGATGGGGGATAAATGTAAACATAGATGATATACATATGAGGTCTTTACACATCTGAAAATATCTGTATTCTCTGAGATGTTGTTGTTGTTGTTGTTGTACTGGGAATCAAACTCACGACTTTGCACTTGCCAGGAGCTAAATCTCCTGCCCCTTCCATGAGAATTTTGAAGGCATTCCTTTGTACCCTTCTAACAAACAGTACAAGTTCTACGAAAATAATGCCATTCTGTTTCCTACTGTTTCTGTAGCACTTAATTTTTTTCTTTAGAACTGTTATATTTTATAAAATTACAGGATTTTATTTTATTTTTTATTCTTGGTTCAGTGGTCCTGTGATAACAGCCATGCTTTGCATCTTTTGTTTGTTACCCAGATCATTGAGTGAAAATTTTTAATTTGGTCTCGTATGTTTTTCAGCTCAATGGTGTCTAAAATAATTTCTTTTTTTTTTTTTTTTTTTTTTTTTCTTTTTTTTTATTTAAGAGGAAAAAGAGAAAAACACAAAACAAGACAAAGCAGTGTAAGGTTACACATAATACAGAACTACAAAAAAAAAAAATAAACATAACAGTAAGAAATCACCTGTTAATAGATTACATAATATCATCTTGGAAATAGTTGCTCAAATCACAGTATCAAAGAATACAAAGTAGACATTCAAACGGAGAGACTGCAAACAGCTGTGTTCAATGATCCAAAAACATTAATATAGTCAGCTATTTAACATCCCTAAACACACTTGTTGTTATATCCGTTAGAGCTCTTTTTTTTTCCCCTCCCTCTCTTTTTTATAACAAAATTTACACATTTTGGATTTTATTACTCCTCAGTTCTCATTACTCTCTTGGGGGGGAGATAATAAAGTCAAATATGGCAAAACAAAGCTGTAAGTCCAAACCAAGGATAGACATAGCACATGATGTAGAACAGAGTACAAGGTCATCAACAATGGTTATCAACATTGTCTCTTGTTTCCTTAAAAGGAATTGTCTATCTCATTAGATATTATAAAGTTGGACAAAACAGTGGAGAACAAGACCAATAAAACTTAGGCATTGTGAACATTGCAGGACTTCCAAAGGAGACAATAGTCAAACCAGAATGGGCATCTTTGTGAATCTTATTGCCTTCAAATTAGTTGCCTATACCTTCAAACTTGCTACTGTCGCACAGAATGGAACAGAGTCTAATCAGTCAAAACAAGATCTTGGGAGTATTACAGGACTTCAAAACAAGTTAATAGGAGATCAAAAAGAGTTACTACTATATATCCTAATTTTTTAAGTTTTTCCCTTAATTAAAATAAACATAAGAAATAGCTAAATAATTTTTTTAAAGAATAGTAGTTACCATAGTGTCTGTCTTTTTCCTTAAAATATTTGGATAAAACTTCATATACTATAGCTTCAAATATTTCCATATCAAAAAGCCCAGAGTAAAGCCTTTCTAATTAATAAGTGAAAATTTTATAAGGCTTCAAGGCCACATAATGGGGAATCATGATTATCACATATTTTTATATATTTGAATCATTACTTACATTAGGGAAACTATTCGGTATTCATACATGCGAGATTGATTTATTTCACTTATGAGTATGGTCTCAAGCTGCGCCCATTTATTGATAAATATCTCAATGCAATCCTTCTTTATAGCTGAATAATACTCCATTGTATAGAAATACCACAACTTTTTTATCCATTCCTCAGTTGATGGACACTTGGGTTGTTTCCAAGATCTGGCGATTACAAATTGTGCTGCTATAAACATAGGTGCACATATATCCCTGTGGTATGATGCTTTCAGTTCTTCTGGGAATATGCCTAGAAGTGGAATAGCTGGAATAAATGGGATTTCCAATCCCAACTTTTTGAGAAACCTCCAGACAGATCTCCACAAAGGCTGTACCAGTCTACACTCCCACCAACAGTGCAGGAGAGTTCCTTTTTCCCCACAGCCTCTCCAGCATTTGTTGTTGTTGGTTTTCTTGATCCTGGCCATTCTTTCAGGAGTGAGATGGTATCTCAGTGTGGTTTTAATTTGCATTTCTCTAATGGCCAATGATGATGAGCATTTTTTCATGTATTTATTTGCCATTTGCATTTCTTCATCTGAGAATTGCGTATTCATCTCAGATGCCCATTTTTGGATTGGATCTTTGAATTTTGAAGGTCTGAGTTTTTTTAATTCTTTATATGTTTTAGACAAGAGGCCCTTGTCTGAGAGAGAGTTCACTAAAATCTTTTCCCAGTTTGTGGGTTTTCTTTTCACTATGCTGGAGATTTCTTTTGACATGCAAAAACTTTTT